TATGAAAATGTATTTTTAATTTAATAAGCTTTATATTTTAATCGAAACGAACTACTAATAAATATATTTTTAGCACCAATTGAATATTGTTTTTGGTATTAAACAAACCACTAATAATATTAACATTTATTGCTACATACTAATAAATATAATTATTATTATTGCAAAGAAACCAAAGTAGAAAAAAGGCAACTTATTTACAACTACTAATATTAATTAATAATTGACACCTACTTGGGAATATTATTTTTTGGGATCATCCGATTCATTGCCCAGTCCGCCAAACAGGAATATTTTCTCGCCGACCATCGTGAAGCTGTGCCCCAACCGGGGGCAGGGTGTGACACCGTTATCCGGTGTCTCAGGGTACATTTTGCGCCATCCCCATTTGATTGCTTGCAACTCGTAAAGTTCATTTGGATATTTGCCATATTCAATCATGCCGCTAAAGACAAACATGCGGGTGCCTTCCACAACAAATTCATAGGTGGCACAACCATTTGGCACATCGCGTTTCAACACGGGCACATACCATTGATTGGTGACTAAATTAATTATTGGAAATTGACAATTAGCAATTGAAATTATCAATTGCTCCATGAACATCGACACCAAATAGTGCAGTGACAGTGCAGCTTCATAGCATAGCACGAAACACACTACAACGATATTCTCAACTACCGTTAGTGGCAAAGTATATCATGTCCCCTGCTTTGCATGACATACAATCAACGCACTCAAAATAAAAAAAAAACTCATTTAAAATCACAAATCTAAATAAATATCTGTATTATAAACATGAAATTCATCGGCAATTTCCTCGTTGCCGCCAACAAAAACGACCATTAATTCCTTGATATTTATGGCACGATGACCGTGGCGGGGACGCGGCTGCGGCCGCGTTGGATTTAAAATGCGTTTCCAACGAAAAACAAGTTGATTATTGGCTAACATATTATTATTAGGATTATCAATTTGGTAGGTGGCATCCATTTCCATTTTCAATTCAGCAGATTATTCGTTTTTAATATATTTGTTTACAATTCAAGTTCATCTTTTTGTTTGCCAAAACTGTAAAAAAAAAAATTAGTCAAGTTAAAATTAAAAATTTAAATGAATACGAGTAAACTATTATTGAGCACTGTGATTGCTGCGTTGATGCTAACAATTTATGTTGACCTAGCAATGTCGTCAAATGGACGCCGACGCTCATCAAAAATCGGTATCAAAATTTTGGTGCCATTTTATCACACAATTTTTTAAAATGCGAATTATTGTTGTTTTTCCTTCTCGCTTACCAAATTATCAATTGCACTTTATTGAAATTGAAATGTAAGTCAGTAATAAATGGAAATGCGACACACTCCAAAATTCGTGCACACATACAATGCGCAAAAAAAAGCCGAATAAAACGACAACGACATGCCGCCAAAGACAAACATGCGGGTGCCTTCCACAACAAATCCATAAGCGGCACAACCATTTGGCACATCGCGCTTCAACACGGGCACATACCATTGATTGGTGACTAAATTAATTATTGGAAATTGACAATTAGCAATTGAAATTATCAATTGTAGCGTGCTGACTCAGATTGGCCGTCGTGACTAGATATGCCGTGTTTTTAATTATCGATTGTAGTGTGACGATAGTGCAGGGAGCCGAACTGGATCATCGATCTATATATCGATAAGCGCAACTCATTTTGGCTAGCGAGGGAAGAACAATATTTTTTGTTTAAATATAAATCTATTATAAAATAAAAATATAGCTGGAATGGATAATATGCACATTTAAAACCAAACTTCAATTAAGCATTAATAATTAACAGCAAAAGAATATTTTTTTGATTATATATTATTTGTATACTAAAATAAAATATTCAATAAAAATATAACTTAAATAAATTGTTTATATAAAGATATCAACGATAAAACAATAAGTTAACCAATAACTAATTATTTTTATTCATTTAATTTGCCTATCGATGTTTTCATGAAAAAATAAAAATATAACTTGAATGAACTAATTTCTAATACATTTTAAGTATATATCGATACACATAATAAAAATAAACTACAATTTTTATTGATCATTTTAATTAATTTTAAATAATATCGCTAAGCAGTTGTGCCCAGACGGCGACGCGTCGATAAATGTGCAGTGTACCTGTTCGTACCCATACACGCATGCTCATAAAAGGCCGTTTCTTAATTTATCTGCGATGTTGTCGCAGCAAAGTTAAGTGAAATAACGCTGACCACTGCAAAATTTTCGTCGCGTTGTCGTCTGGGCACAATTGCGCCCAGAGATTACTATTTAATCACATTTTACAATATTATCACAAATCTACTAACGTTTATTTTAGTTCTTAATGGTTTTCTTTCTCAGAACTTTTCACTTTAGTTTATTATATTTTTCATTTTTTTTTTACAGGTTTTCCCAAATCTGTTATCTATTTTACATTGGCCAATATTTCAGTTTTATTTTTTTAAGCCATTTAATATGAAACTTGAATTTTGAAAAACAATTCTTAGTTCTTGGACAATACTAAAAAAAAATATATATATATATATCTTTACAATCTGCACACTTTGGCTTGTAGTTATATAAATAAAATATACTTATTTATATATATATTTATTATACTTATATATACATATTATTAAAATCAGTTATAAGTGTAGATCATCTCACCCTAACCTGGTTGTTCCTAGCTTTGCGATAACCATCTCGCTCCGACCAAACATAGACGACTCTGAATGCCAATGGCACAGTGCCCGGCTCGTGCTCTGGGCACATTCTCCTCGATGGTGCAGGGTGACATTCTCCCACGTCATCATATCTACACAAAAAGCTTATTATAATATACATTGTATATATATATGTATACAGTATAGTAAATACCCAAATCAAGTACTGCGAGCGTATTTGGGCATTTCCATTCACGTTCTGTTGTCGCCTTCGAGTCATTTATCACCAGTGGTAAACATACATTTTAATTGCAATCATTGTCGAACCGTGCAAGGATCGTGAAAGTGGGGCTTGTCCTCGAGTTCTTGGTTTCTCCCACGGCATGGAATCCAAATGGAAAACAATTATAATAATTAATATATATATAATTCGTAATACAGAAATACAATATTTGCTCGTAAACGAAATACCCGTGTGCGATTCCCGGGGAGGCGGATTTTGCCATTGTGACTGTGCACGCCTCGCGTATCCAATATATACAAATTATTCAGATATCTAAAAGTAATTTAAATTTAAAAAATGAACACTATTAATATCGAATATTTAATTGAGAAATTGCTTACTCTCATTTTATATATATTTTTGCTTTAAATTCTAGTTTTTGACTTCTCAAAAGTGTTAGTAAAAATTTCATTCATTTAAATTTAAAAATATTAAATTTGATTTTGAATTAAATATATTTTTTATTTGCGATTTTGCTATGTCGAAAATTAAAGTTAACCAACGTAATTATGAAGTTTTTTTTTTTTGTATTTAAGATTTTTCTCTTTCGACTGAGGGATAGTCGAAATTTAGAATTTTAGAAATATTGAATATGAAAATGTAATTTTAATTTAATAAGCTTTATATTTTAATCGAAACGAACTACTAATAAATATATTTTTAGCACCAATTAAATATTGTTTTTGGTATTAAACAAACCACTAATAATATAAACATTTATTGCTACATTCTAATAAATATAATTATTATTATTGCAAAGAAACCAAAGTAGAAAAAATGCAACTTATTTACAACTACTAATATTAATTAATAATTGACACCTACTTGGGAATATTATTTTTTGGGATCATCCGATTCATTGCCCAGTCCTCCAGACAGGAATATTTTCTCGCCGACCATCGTGAAGCTGTGCCCCAACCGGGGGCAGGGTGTGACACCGTTATCCGGTGTCTCAGGGTACATTTTGCGCCATCCCCATTTGATTGCTTGCAACTCGTAAAGTTCATTTGGATATTTGCCATATTCAATCATGCCGCTAAAGACAAACATGCGGGTGCCTTCCACAACAAATTCATAGGTGGCACAACCATTTGGCACATCGCGTTTCAACACGGGCACATACCATTGATTGGTGACTAAATTAATTATTGGAAATTAACAATTAGCAATTGAAATTATCAATTGTAGCGTGCTGACTCAGATTGGCAGTCGTGACTAGATATGCCGTGTTTTCAATTATCGATTGTAGTGTGACGATAGTACAGGGAGCCGAACTGGATCATCGATCTATATATCGATAAGCGCAACTCATTTTGGCTAGCGAGGGAAGAACAATATTTTTTGTTTAAATATAAATCTATTATAAAATAAAAATATAGCTGGAATGGATAATATGCACATTTAAAACCAAACTTTAATTAAGCATTAATAATTAATAGCAAAAGAATATTTTTTTGATTCTATATTGATTGTTATAATAAAATAAAATATTCAATAAAAATATAACTTAAATAAATTGTTTATATAAAGATATCAACGATAAAACAATAAGTTAACCAATAACTAATTATTTTTATTCATTTAATTTGCCTATCGATGTTTTCATGAAAAAATAAAAATATAACTTGAATGAACTAATTTCAAATACATTTTAAGTATATATCGATACACATAATAAAAATAAACTACAATTTTTATTGATCATTTTAATTAATTTAAAATAATATCGCTAAGCAGTTGTGCCCAGACGGCGACACGTCGATAAATGTGCAGTGTACCTGTTCGTACCCTTACACGCATGCTCATAAAAGGCCGTTCTTAATATATCTGCGATGTTGTCGCAGCAAAGTTAAGTGAAATAACGCTGACCACTGCAAAATTTTCGTCGCGTTGTCGTCTGGACACAATTGCGCCCAGAGATTACTATTTAATCACATTTTACAATATTATCACAAATCTACTAACGTTTATTTTAGATCTTAATGGTTTTCCTTCTCAGAACTTTTCACTTTCATTTATTATATTTTTCATTTTTTTTTTTTACAGGTTTTCCCTAATCTGTTATCTATTTTACATTGGCCAATATTTCAGTTTTATTTTTTTAAGCCATTTAATATGAAACTTGAATTTTGAAATTCAAATTCGGCTCAATTTGGCCGGATCTTTGCTCGTAAACGAAATACCCGTGTGCGATTCCCGGGGAGGCGGATTTTGCCATTGTGACTGTGCACGCCTCGCGTATCCAATATATACAAATCATTCAGATATCTAAAAGTAATTTAAATTTTAAAAATTAACACTATTAATATCGAATATTTAACTGAGAAATTGCTTACTCTCATTTTATATATATTTTTGCTTTAAATTCTAGTTTTTGACTTCTCAAAAGTGTTAGTAAAAATTTCATTCATTTAAATTTAAAAATATTAAATTTGATTTTGAATTAAATATATTTTTTATTTGCGATTTTGCTATGTCGAAAATTAAAGTTAACCAACGTAATTATGAAGTTTTTTTTTTTTGTATTTCAGATTTTTCTTTTTCGACTGAGGGATAGTCGAAATTAAGAATTTTAAAAATATTGAATATGAAAATGTATTTTTAATTTAATAAGCTTTAGATTTTAATCGAAACGAACTACTAATAAATATATTTTTAGCACCAATTGAATATTGTTTTTGGTATTAAACAAACCACTAATAATATTAACATTTATTGCTACATACTAATAAATATAATTATTATTATTGCAAAGAAACCAAAGTAGAAAAAAGGCAACTTATTTACAACTACTAATATTAATTAATAATTGACACCTACTTGGGAATATTATTTTTTGGGATCATCCGATTCATTGCCCAGTCCTCCAGACAGGAATATTTTCTCGCCGACCATCGTGAAGCTGTGCCCCAACCGGGGGCAGGGTGTGACACCGTTATCCGGTGTCTCAGGGTACATTTTGCGCAATCCCAATTTGATTGCTTGCAACTCGTAAAGTTCATTTGGATATTTGCCATATTCAATCATGCCGCTAAAGACAAACATGCGGGTGCCTTCCACAACAAATCCATAAGCGGCACAACCATTTGGCACATCGCGCTTCAGCACGGGCACATACCATTGATTGGTGACTAAATTAATAATTGGAAATTGACAATTAGCAATTGAAATTATCAATTGTAGTGTGACTATAGTGCAGCTCCATGAACATCGACACCAAATTGTGCAGGGACAGTGCAGCTTCATAGCATAGCACGAAACACACTACAACGCTATTCTCAACTACCGTTAGTGGCAAAGTATATCATGTCCCCTGCTTTGCATGACATACAATCAACGCACTCAAAATAAAAAAAAAAAAACTCATTTAAAATCACAAATCTAAATAAATACCTGTATTATAAACATGAAATTCATCGGCAATTCCCTCGTTGCCGCCAACAAAAACGACCATTAATTCCTTGATATTTATGGCACGATGACTGTGGCGGGAACGCGGCTGCGGCCGCGTTGGATTTAAAATGCGTTTCCAACGAAAACCAAGTTGATTATTGGCCAACATATTATTATTAGGATTATCAATTTGGTAGGTGGCATCCATTTCCATTTTCAATTCAGCAGATTATTCGTTTTTAATATATTTGTTTACAATTCAAGTTCATCTTTTTGTTTGCCAAAACTGTAAAAAAAAAAATTAGTCAAGTTAAAATTAAAAATTTAAATGAATACGAATAAACTATTATTGAGCACTGTGATTGCCGCGTTGATGCTAACAATTTATGTTGACCCAGCAATGTCGTCAAATGGACGCCGACGCTCATCAAAAATCGGTATCAAAATTTTGGTGCCATTTTATCACACAATTTTTTAAAATGCGAATTATTGTTGTTTTTCCTTCTCGCTTACCAAATGATCAATTGCACTTTCTTGAAATTGAAATGTAAGTCAGTAATAAATGGATATGCGACACACTCCAAAATTCGTGCACACATACAATCCGAAAAAAAAAAGCCGAAGAAAACGAGAACGACATGCCGCCAAAGACAAACATGCGGGTGCCTTCCACAACAAATCCATAAGCGGCACAACCATTTGGCACATCGCGCTTCAACACGGGCACATACCATTGATTGGTGACTAAATTAATTATTGGAAATTGACAATTAGCAATTGAAATTATCAATTGTAGCGTGCTGACTCAGATTGGCCGTCGTGACTAGATATGCCGTGTTTTTAATTATCGATTGTAGTGTGACGATAGTGCAGGGAGCCGAACTGGATCATCGATCTATATATCGATAAGCGCAACTCATTTTGGCTAGCGAGGGAAGAATATTTTTTGTTTAAATATAAATCTATTATAAAATAAAAATATAGCTGGAATGGATAATATGCACATTTAAAACCAAACTTTAATTAAGCATTAATAATTAATAGCAAAAGAATATTTTTTTGATTATATATTAATTGTTATAATAAAACAAAATATTCAATAAAAATATAACTTAAATAAATTGTTTATATAAAGATATCAACGATAAAACAATAAGTTAACCAATAACTAATTATTTTTATTCATTTAATTTGCCTATCGATGTTTTCATGAAAAAATAAAAATATAACTTGAATGAACTAATTTCTAATACATTTTAAGTATATATCGATACACATAATAAAAATAAACTACAATTTTTATTGATCATTTTAATTAATTTTAAATAATATCGCTAAGCAGTTGTGCCCAGACGGCGACGCGTCGATAAATGTGCAGTGTACCTGTTCGTACCCTTACATGCATGCTCATAAAAGGCCGTTCTTAATTTATCTGCGATGTTGTCGCAGCAAAGTTAAGTGAAATAACGTTGACCACTGCAAAATTTTCGTCGCGTTGTCGTCTGGGCACAATTGCGCCCAGAGATTACTATTTAATCACATTTTACAATATTATCACAAATCTACTAACGTTTATTTTAGTTCTTAATGGTTTTCTTTCTCAGAACTTTTCACTTTAATTGATTATATATTTCATTTTTTTTTACAGGTTTTCCCAAATCTGTTATCTATTTTACATTGGCCAATATTTCAGTTTTATTTTTTTAAGCCATTTAATATGAAACTTGAATTTTGAAAAACAATTCTTAGTTCTTGGACAATACTAAAAAAAAAAATATATATATATATAATATATATATATTATATGTATATATTTATATATCTTTACAATCTGCTCTGGGCACATTCTCCTCGATGTTGCTGGGTGACATTCTCCTACGTCATCATATCTACACAAAAAGCTTATTATAATATACAATGTATATACATAAATATACAGTATAGTTGTATAAATAATATACACTCGCGAGCTTGAGTTGTAAATTCAGACTGCCTTGCTCTGACGAGCAAGACCTTATTTTATTGAAAAATCTTAAAACTAAATACATATGTTTCCTTAGAATTTAACGCAGTCGCTTGTAAGACGACCACAGTGTAATGTCGCTATCTTTTGGGATATTCTAAGAATAGCGGGACGCGGCCTTAGGTACCTAACCTTGAGTGTGCTGCATGAGCCCGTTAGCTGATACCCAGAACAACATATGTTCATACTTGAACATTACGACCACGGTGTAATGTCATCCCTTGTTATCTTTTGGGATATTCTAAGAATAGCGGGACCCGACCTGAGGTACCTAACCTTGAGTGGGCTGCATGAGCCCGCTAGCTGATACCCAGAACAACACATGTTCATACTTGAACATTCTCCGGGGGCGCAGTAAATGTAATATTGATCAACTCTCTATTTTGTACATATCTTATTCTTAGGTAAACTACAAGACCTATAATCACCACAGTCACTAAAATCAATGAGACGTGTCCACTTGCAGTAAAGAAATGCAAGTCACCCAAGTGAACTTTGTGGTCGTTGAGATATTGTATTTTTTCATGCAGTTTCTGAAGTTCCTTGGTATTGTTGATTGTAAGCGTGCCAATTGGTGTCAACTCGAAGGGCGCTTCATCATCTGCTTCTTTTATGAAGTGTGTCGAGAAGTTAACTTTAAATGATGTGTGAAGACTCTGAGGGGCCTGTAGGGTTACTCCTTTAAGTCTTAGAGAACATCCTTCAGTGAGGTCCAGGATGCCAACCTTCGGTAGTCGTACTAGTTGATGATGCGAGTCACTGCATTGGATCTGACCCGAAGTATTCTCAAACGTTTTGAACAACCAGCGATTGTGGGCACCCAGTTTTATCCAAAAGGATTGCTCCTTGTATTCATCCATTGAGCACAACATTTTTGAGTGAGGCCTCATTGGAGTTGTCTCACAGAAGTTCTCTTCTGCATCTTTCCATGCCCAGTTTCCTTGGCAGACTCTTGTTTCCTCGTTTTCCCAACGGCACTTGTTCAGGTCGGCGTCAGACATTAAATGAAATGTGTTTAACGCCGTATTGTAGATCATATAATTCGCTGCTACCGCTGGAATCATTTTTTGACTATTGCCGATGAACGGTATCGGAATAATCTTAAAAATGGCCGACTCCTGATTCAGGTACAATGGAATTTATTATGATCATCTCATCCTTGAATATTCCGTGCGCCGCCAGAAGTTTGTAAGCTGTCTGTAGTTTATGCCCAGCAGTTTTCCCAGGTAATATATGGTTGCGTGGCATTACGTCCTGTACTTTATTAATCTCCTTCATCATTTGAGATGGCTTGATTAGTATAGGATTCAATCTTCCCTGATTTAAATCCATGAACAAATCAATTATTTTTTCTTGAATTGATTCCGCTTCGTCGGTCCAATCCTTCAGTTGGAGAATGAGTAGCAATAACTTAATTGCCTCCCGGTGTATTAGATATTGGACTTTGATTGATTCAGTGATATCATTCAATCTCATAGTCATATCATTAAAGTTTTCGTTGACTTTTTCTGTCGTTGTTTTCACTAAGTTGACTGTTGCGTTGATAACTGAAGTCTGATTCTCCATATAGCCTTTTAAGTTTTCTTGGTTCGTCTTTAAGGTCTTCATGTTAACCATTGATATAACTTTTGATGAAACATCAAACCATCCGTTAGGGCATACAAAGATAGTCTCACAATATCGCTTCTTTCTTTGATACGAAGGTTCCATTATAAGATTATTATTTTCTTCTATTGCGTCCAATTGTCGTCCGACTCTCGCTGTCATTGATAGGCACTGTTGTTCAAATTCCATAAACTTGGGACATAATCCTTTAGCTTTTTCCAGTATTGCGGGAGCTTGCCGTGAGACCTCCAAATAGGCTTGTAAATTGAAGTAGAATAGGAAGTCCCAGCTTGATGATGTTACTTCCACTTTTCCAATCTTTTCCAGAAATATTGCTGATTCGTTTTCTAGCTCCCTTATATGTATTTTTGAGCTATTTTGATTGGAAATAATGACTCCAGTTGTCACTTGGAACATCATTAGTAGGCTTAAAATGGTTGCAGCAGTCTTCTTGCTCTGTGTGCTTCTGTGTAGCGTCTTTTGCTCTTCCTCTTGTGTTGGTAACGGACAAATTTTATTAATTGACCGTTTTATCTCGCCGTTACTTGTTTTAATTATGACAACTCTGGCTTTATTGTCTTCTCCTTTGGCGGTTTTTATGATTTTTCCCATTGGCCATTTTCCGGGATGTGTATTTTCCTGTTTGATCAGTACAACTTGACCCTCCTTAAGGTTTTCTTTGTCGCTTTGCCATTTTGTTCTTTTTTGCAGCGACACCAAATAGTCTTCTTTCCATTTTTTCCAAAATTCTGCAGTCATTCGCTGAATGTATCTCCATCTGTCTAGCGATCCTATCTGCCCATGCACGTCCATATTTTCTGGTGCGCTTATAAGTGGCCTACCCACTAGGAAATGTCCAGCGGTGAGTACATCGTCCGTCTCGCTCTCATTTTCCATTGAGATTAAAGGCCGTGAGTTCAGCACTGCCTCTATACGACATAGCAGCGTAGAGATCTCCTCATAGGTGCAGCTATTGTTTCCAAGTATACGCTTTAAATGATATTTCATGGATTTCACGCCAGCTTCCCACAATCCACCCATGTGGGGGCTCCCCGGGGGAATAAAATGCCAGGTTATGCCATCTTTTTGCAAAATTGGTGCTAATTTTGTATTGCTCAAAATAGCAGCTTCTAAATCAACATTTAGTTTCCTTGCTGCTCCAACGAAATTTGTTCCATTATCGGAGTACAGGTGTTTGCTTTTGCCCCGTCTCGCAAAAAATCGATGTAGAGTTTCCAGAAATTTTTCCGTGGTCATGTCGCTGACCAGCTCCAAATGGATTGCTTTTGTAGCCATACAAATGAAGATGCAGACGTATCCCTTATAAGCTTTTTGCCCTCGTCCTTTTGAGCATCTAATTTGGAATGGTCCCGCATAGTCTATGCCCGTTGCATAAAATGGAAACTCTCCGATCACTCTATAAGTGGGCAGGTTTCCCATGATTTGGTTAATTGACTCCTGTCTGTATCTAATGCATGTGACACATGCTCGGAAGTATTTTCTTATCAGGTTGCGACAACCAAATATCCAGCATTCCCGTTGTATGAAGTTTTTCATTAACTTGATTCCTCCGTGTAGGGTCATTTTGTGGGCCTTATCGATCAGTAGCCAAGCCAAATGGGATTTTCCTATGATGATGGGATGTTTTATTCCGAATGGTAAGGCGGAGTTTTGTAGTCGACCTCCAACTCTTAGAATTCCTTCATCGTCCAGAAACGGATAGAGTGGTAGTAGCTTGTTTTTAGCCTCCAATCGTTTTTTGTTCTGCAGTTGATGAATCTCTTTTCCGAAGTCTAGTTGCTGCTGAAGCTTTACAATTGTTGATTTTGCCTTACTCCAAAGGTTGTTGTCTGCGGACGATGTTTGCGTGATTTTTGCCCGAAGCTTTGCTATAAATCGTAAAATATTAACGATTACGCTTTCCAATTTCGACAAACTCGAATATTTAGACAGCAATTTTGTCAGTGGATCGTCTTCATTCAACGTTGCTGCCACTATCAAGATCTCCTCTTCTTTTTGTATTGGCCACTCACTGGCTGGCTGAGTTAGCCACTGTGGCCCATGCCACCATGTCGAATGATGTTCCAGTTTTTTTGGTGTGATTCCTCTTGAAGCGACGTCTGCTGGATTCTCTTCTGACTTCACGTAGTTCCATTTTACTGATGGTAGATGGCTCGTAATGTCATCCACCCTAGTT